ATTTGTAAATATTGCTGCTCTAATAGCATATTTAATTTTAATTTTTTTCAGAATTATGTATTGCATTATAGAAGTTTCAATTATGGACAAAAAATTATGAAATATTTTGGGTGAAACATTAGTGCAATAAAGAAATGCATTGATGTAAATGAAGTTTGCAAAAAATGTTCTTTCAGCAATTTATTTTTTTTTTTTGTAGAAGTTAACAAATTTGCATTTTCGAAGCTGTCTAACATACTGCAATTATTGCGAAATATTTGTAATTATATTGATTATAAAAATGCGGAACAATTTGAAACACTAAAGGGTGCAGTCCAAGAATTTTTAAAAAGAGCAAATTTTACCTTTAAAACGAAGTCAAACACAATATAAAAATAACACTTATATTTTTTCCTCTTAAAATTTGTCATTCTTTAGTTACAAGGGTGTCATAAATGTTTGTTTTGATTACCTTTTTGTTACATTTACATTTCTTTGTTCGATACGTTACGTTAATTAATTATATAAATAATTGAATGCTATAATTTTGATTCTATCAGCACGTTACGGCTATAACGATTTTTAATAATTTAAACTGCATATAATGTGTTAAACTATATACATAATACAATTTTTATTTAATTACTTTAAGATTTTTACTTTTTCGAAAAAACCGATTTAAACCAATTTTTACCTAACAAAACAGTTTATTTATAGATGGCATTACAAGAATAAAAATTCATAAGAAGACCGTTACTTTATGGAAAATTCAACTTTAAAACCACTATTTGAAATATGAATAAGCTAAAAACTAACAAGAACACTGATTATTGCTACCAACATAAAATCAGCACAAAATGGGTTTTCTCTAGACAGTTGTATAGTAAAAAAACTGACACAATTTTCAAAAAAAACTAAACTTCGGAAATGATTTTTATTTGGTCGCGATACCCGCCCAACGTCTCCAAATTTTGGTTTCTTTATTTTACATTTGAATTTCAACGTTCGCCAAAAAAACCAACTCGGTCCTCAGTCCACTCTCAGTTTTTTTCCTTTACTGAAAGTTCAAAATACTGTTCGGGTGAATAGTGAAAGTATATTAAAAGCGATTTGGTGAAAGTATTGCACAAAATTACGAAAATAACTTTGAAACACATGATGGATAGTGTATTTTTATTTTCTTTTATTTCTTTGTTCGAACTATGTATTATAAGCAAGGATTGTCTCAACAGATGTTTTTAACCAAATACATTTACAATAGTTTTGCCAAAGACGTTTGAAAACAACATTTTTTCTGTTAATAGTTTTTACTGTATTGTCTGTTAATGTGTATTGTCTAGTTAAGCCGAAGTGTTACAGAATATTATAAAAATGCCTGTTGAATACTTCTTTCCAATTTTTAGGATATTAGTAAGCTTATAGTTAACACTTAAAAGAATATGAATTTGGCTCTTAGTAGAGTTTCGCTTTGTGCTACCCGAATTCCCTGAAATGCTTACCAGGTAGTTTCGGTAACAAGCACAACTCAAATATCAAATTTCAAGAAATTTCATCAATTCGTTCGCTAGATATGTGAAAAATGTAAAATCGGCCCTCAGATCAGTTTCCGAGTCTTTCTGATCTTTCCAAAAAATTTATATATTCATTGTTTTAATGCAAGGAATTTAAATATTAAATTTCAATGAAATGGGTTCATTATTTCTCTTTTTATACGCAAAAATGTATATTTGGCCTGTAGTAAATGTTCAGTTGCTGCCGCCTGATTTCTTCTAAATGTTAAGAAGTTTCGCGTTCGGTTGAATGAAACTTATATGTGAAATTTCAAGTAAATCTGTTGAATATTTTCTTCATAAATCTAAAACAGGCCCGCTAAAAAATGCAGTTCCCTAGGCCTGATATATCTCAAAAGTTGATTAAGCTGTGCCATAATCGAAATAAACTTACACTTAAAACGTCATCAAAATCGGTTCAGCCGAACTTGAGATACACGCGTGTACACACAGACCGACAGATCGACATTTTGCTGAAAATAGTTTATTTACATTTCCCTGCTATGGAGAAGTGCGTTCCCAGCGAAAACTCGATATGCAAAATTTGTTGCCATCACATAACCTGCCTAAGTTGAACAGATTTTTTTTCGGGAGTCTCCTTTAAACAAATTACATATGTACATACATACATATGTATATGTCTTCTTACATAGATCTAATCTAGTTGTTTTTCTTGTGTTACACCAAGAAAATAAAAAATATTTTTAGCCGTACAAAGTGTGTCATTTTCTTTTTATGTACATTTTTTAAATGGTCATTTTAAAACGGGAAAAGCTGGATACTTAAAATTCCTTTTTTACTCCATGCAAAGCGATGTTGGAAAAAATCAAGATTTCTTGGAAGATAAAATGCTTTTTGTACAAACTTTAAAAAATAATTTATTTGTAACCGTAAAGAATGACTTCATGCACGGTTATGTGGTACATCATTAAAAGGAAATCAAAAATGTCTACTTTTTTGTTTATATTTCATTTATGTTCAAAAATCAGTTCTGTATATATGATTTTAAAAGAACTGAAATATCATATAAATCATAATAATGCATTTCTCATAATTTATTGAGCTATCAAATGTTTGTTAGACCTTCGAAGAAATGTTTTATTATTGAATTTTATTTACGTTAACTTGCCTGTCGACGAAACACAATTTTTCACAAAAATTATAAGTATTCATTTGAAAGAGAATATTAAGAAATGTACTCAACAAGGAAACTCAATATTTTTACTTTACATTGGGAAAAACTAAATACAGTAGAACACGCTTAAGTGTAACTCGGATAAATACAAAATTCGCCTAATTAACCAACTATTTAATACTCATGTACCATTCGTATATAGTTCTCATGAATTAGCTCGGGTGAAGTGCAATACGCATAAGTGCACAAAAATTTCATGACCAAAAATTTTGTAATGAAAATTATGAAATTTTGCTCGTTTAAGTGTAATTTTTTTTTTTTTGAGAGGTATATTTTTGATACTTTTTCTGCAAAGTTGCAATCATTTTTTTTTCTTAATAGAAAAAGAGTTGACACACAGCGTTGTCAAAAATAATAAGTTTTTTTATTTTAATATTTTAAATAGGTTTTCTGCTTTTTCCGGAATCAATACTTTATTTGCAACAGAATAAATTAAATAAAAAATATTGAATACGCAGATATACTCGATTTCGAGCTATGTACTTTGCTATTTTGAGAACAAGTTTTACTGGAAAAACTGTGAAAGATAGAGGAAAATATTACATGTTTATAAAAAAAACCAAAAAAAAATAATCTGAATTTTTGAGAAATTTCTAATTTAAAACAAAAATAAAAAAAACATTCTGACTTTGACGAAGTTTATCTCGGAAACTATGGCTCAAATCGAATTTCGAACAGAAACAAAGAGCAGTCAATCATCTGTGAAACCAGCACCCAACGGTTACTCTACTTCGCATGGTTCCGAAGTTATAAACATTTATTTACATGCAGGAAGAACCGGAGGCCTTTTTTCAATAGGCTATAGCTCGAAAACGAGTAAATCTCCACCATACAATTTTTGTTCGATATTGATCAAAGAGCCATCCCTGAAATTATGGCCACTCTATGAGAAACAGCCTGTATATTTCTGTAAAAGAAATATTCTATAGTAATTATACTTAAACCAAAACAATATTTCCATACGCTATCGGCAAGTTCATATGCATGTACTTTAAAAGATATTTGGTTTTCCAAAAATTCTGGATAGTAACTAAAATATACATATGCACGTATGTACGTTCTACTTAATAATTTTATATTGTATTTTAATATTAAAAATTTTGCATGATTTTTGAAAAGTGCAAGGTAAAGTATATATGTACACACTTTTATGTAAGTAATTTTTAACTTACATAAGGTTCCTTCACGAAACCGTATTTCATAAATGATTATTACTTAATTTTTCGGAAATGTTCTTTTGAAATTTTGACAATCTCAGTTATTTTTTAATCGAGTTATCTTATATTTGTTCTCGAGATTTAATATTTATTAAAATTTAAGTGTGTTTAAATTTTTTTTTAAATTTTTGTCTCGTGAAAGAGCCAATAAATTTATGAAGCTCTGTAACCGAATAAAAAGAAGGATTAATCTTGATCCAAGCAAACATTTTTGACAATAATATTTATGCGCCAGATATTAAATTGACAACGATGAAATAAAAAAAAAACGAAACTAGGATTTTTTTAAATAGCTTTGTTATTATATAACAAAAACTAATTTTGTTGCATTATTACACGTTCAGATGAAAATTTTTATTAATTTTTCACCCTACACGATATAATTTGCGTTGGCGTTGTCGAGTTATAGAAATAATTTACACATACATATAGAAACTTATGTACATTAGTGCATATATGATTGTGAGTAATAATATGGTTTACTATTAATAATTTTTAAACTGAATATCCAAATATGATTCATCGACCAGAAATAGACACATCTTAGAGAAAGTAATACTTTTCATATTAAATTTTTTCTTTTCTTTCAAATAACACATCTATTCTGAGCAGTATTTTTTTCCGTGTATAAAAAATAAAAATATTATTTTCTTATTAAAATTGAATTTCAATTTAAAAAAGTTTTTCATGAATTTATTTATCCATTTTGAAAGAGTTTTAAAAATTTTGTAAATTCCTTTTTTTATTTGGTAATTTTTATTTTGAAAGAAAAATTTTGAGAAATAATTTCTTAACAAAATTCCATAAGTTACATTGCGTACACAATTTATTATTGTGAATATTTATATATAAATGCTCCATATACTTTAATGTAAAAGTAGTAAAACACATTTAAATATTTGGTATTCTGATTATTTCTTTTAACTATTTAAATATGTGCATATATATGTACATATCAACACATAGATCGTTTTTTTATTCAAAATTTATAAATTAAATTTAATATTCGAATTATGATTTTAACATTCATTTCCATTTTTTTTCCTTATCTCTACTTACCTCTAATCGTGAGAGGGCGCTCAAATCAGCACTGTATTCAATGCTAACATCGGCGACTCCAGCGCCTGTTGAACTAGCTCTGTAAGAATATTTAGAACTTCTGGCAACAGCTGACGATGACATTTTAATTATTTTTGACGTTTGTTACAAGATATTTCTATAAAATTGTGTATAATAAAGATTTCGAATTAATTAATATTTTGTGTAAAATTTTGCGCTACTTAGCACAGTTTTCATTAAATGTTACCACTTTCATAAACAAACCGGAGCACTATGTGCAAAGTTTTTATTTTACCGTAATATAATTTTCGTTATAAATGTCAGAGAAAGGCTGGCGGTCTACTAATTGTAATATTCCGCCGTCGTTCGAGTAAAATGTTAGTATAAAATCGAAAATAGAAAAAAAAAATTATTTCACGAAAAATGGACGCTCCTCGAAATCTATAGTAAAAATAGATTTTGATTTGTTTTTTTTTTTTTTAATTTTGAATCTATTTCTCATATTAGAAGTACTTGAGAACATTGCGTTAATATTTTAGTGTAAAGTTTGAATGTGTGGTAGAGTATATTATGAGTAAAAATTAAATTTAAACAAGAATAGGTATAGTTGACCGTATCAACTATGTGATACCCATACGAATTAATATTTAAAAGTTTTCTTTTTATTCCTAGTTCGCTCCTGGGAGGAGCATAGGGTTGGTGCACGATATTGTAGATAACCATGAACACTAGTTTCTTACGCCATTGAGTTTACTAGGTAGGTAACGAGCCTAGCGTAGTTTTATACTAAGGTTATTGAAATTTACTATTTTATTTTACTGGTATTTTTAATATTGGATATTATTGAAATATGGAAATTAGTTAATATGTGTAATATGTATAATGTAATGTAAATAAAGCTATATAATATTGAGTATAATTTTTATAGTGACCTGACTTTAAGCCCGAGACCCTTCTATTAAAGCACCAGTGCAGTAACCATTGGTCAGGTCAATGTTTATAAGTTCTGTATGCTAATTCTTTCACTCTTTTGCAGATACTCCTGGGTTTTTGTATGTATAGCGCTTTTAAACACATATGGTAGATAAGTAAGACTTTTATTAAAAATAATGGTCATTTTACTATGTTCGTTTTTGCTAAATTTCAGTATTGTAGTTTCAACAACTTCCAAGTTATGACCAAGCAACTGCCGAAGTTGCTGAACATCTACTCGAGCCACTGTCTCTATCATATCCAATTTAAGTAGGTTTCTGGCATTATAAATCATCGCTGGGACAGACGGACAAGCGTGGTTAAGTTGACTCAGAATTTGATGAAGATAAAAAACATGCACTTACCTCTACGTCCCAGACTACTATTTTTTGGCGTTATAAACGGTAAACCTAATTTATAATACCCTTCGAATATACGTTCAACGATTATAAAAAGAGGAAGTATATGATATCTAGATTGGAAAGTTTTTTGCACATAGACAAATATTTTACTGTTATAACTTATAAAATATAATAAACTTATGAGAATACTCGTGACCCGTTTGTGTAAAAAAGTTGGAATGTTTCAGAAAGGATTTGTAGTGGTAATCGATGGTTCAACCGATTGTTTCTTGATTCTAATATTATTATATATAGTATCATTGTATATACAGTGAGTCAAAGTCAAAATGATACACCTTTAAAAAAAATTGTAATTAAGTTCTTTTTATTTTTAAATCAAAATTAGATATTTTATGTACATAAATTACTTCATTGATATGTAATTTAAAAAAAATAAAAAACTTAAGTCCTGCAACATTTACGGTTAGATTACAAAATAAAAAACAATAACAAAACTTCAAATTTTTAATCAAAGTGAAAATGATACAATATAGGAATATCAGTAAAGTAATATTCTTAAACAAGTTTTAATATTTGGTATAACGTCCTTTAGCAACTCTAACAGCAGTTAATCTATTTGGCATGGAAGAAACTAGCTTTTTTGCTGGTTTTTTGTTGTTTATAATCTAACAGTAATGTCTAACTAGGTTTTTTAAAATTTGTATATTTTTAGTTTACGTACCAACAAAGAAATTTACACCAACAAAAGTTCGGAATTCAATTAAAAATTAAGAACGAAACTTTGGTAAATGATTTTGTAAATGGTGTATCATTTTCACTTTGACTGACTGTATAAGCATACATGAGTGTTAACTCGAAAACTAATTTCCACAAAAATCGTTTTTTGTTTTTAAAATGTTCATGATAAAGAAAGGGCAAAACGTTAATATCAGCTTTTGCAGTTAACATTGGTTTAAGACTAATTCATTCTTCATGGAAATTAACATAAGGTTATTTATATTTCGCGCCGTTCTGAAATCGGAAAAAAATCAATTCGGATTCGAGATCAATTTCACTCGATTTCAAAATTTTTTGAAATCACATATTGAAGTGCCAAACAATCAGGTGATATTATTTTTTTATAGCAAATTTTGTAAAAGTTAAAGGGGCGTTTAAATTAAAGTGTCTGAAAATTATTGTATTTATAAAGCAATGATGAGAATTATGAAAGGAAAAATATAGATCCAGGAATGATATTATTATTGGCAGATGATGAAAGAGAGCAAAAGGCTAAATTAAGAATTCATTGCAAAATATTGAGAGAAAACGCAATCATATGTTTCAGAATCATTTTATGTCTTATTTATAAGTACATACATATGTACATATGTATAATTTTTTATATTGGGATATTGTTTGAATCTACAAATTAATTTTTTATTATAGATGTGCTGAACAAAATCAGTTAAGTTGGGCCACAATGATTCGGTATATAAATGCATCTCTTTTTGCTCAAACCCAAAGTAAGATTTTTATTGGTTTCCATAAATTGTAGCATAATCTTCTGCTGCTTTTTGATATGACTTCTATTAATTGAATATTGAATGGAATGAAAAGATCTTAAAATTATATAATGTATATAATGTATATAACGTATAAGAAAAATGTTGAAATTTTCCAAAGCGCGCACAAAACACAAATCCAAATGGACCGAATTCAGATTCAAACCAAATATGTTTATCGCATTTTTCGATTTTCACAAATGCTGCCTTATTTGACAAAATTCGGATTTGCCAAGTACCACTTTCATTGATATTTTCACATATTGTAAATTGAAGCAGTTGTGATACATATATATGTATGTATGTACATATATACAATATGTACAAAAATATTTACCTTTAAAAAATAAATACATTTTGTATTAATTTTTTTATTACAACATTGTATTATTATGTTTCACATAATTTTTAATATATGTATGTAAATTTAAACATAATAGTTCGATTTTATGTTTTTGAGTAATTTTTAAAAAACACTTTCGTATTGATGTTTTTAATTCTTAAAAAATTTAATTATTTTGGCTAACTTCTTTAATTTTTTCATTTATAAAAACAATTTTTTTTTTCATACCTGATATAATCAATATTGTACATACATATGTATGTAAATTATTTTACAGTTACTTATACATATATAAGTTGTTTATTAAATATGCACATGTGTGTGTTTATTATAGAACACGAATAAACAAAATTACATATATTGAAATCTGACCAAACTCTTTTTCTTCCAAATTGTGAAAAACAAATGTTCATTACTATTCTGAAAATAGAATTGTGACTTAATCGAGAATGATTTTCATTGCTTTTTAATATAATGGCTGGACAAACAATTTCATGTGACTTTATTTTAAATTTAACACATTGTCCTATTCTATTTTCTTTAACTAGTTTTTGGGTCTTTATATATGTGTGTATGTATAAATGTGTGCATGTATTTACATTACATGTTATTTACCTACATAATATGTACATATGTATTTACATCGATCTAGCATTAATCTTGTCCTCGAAATCAATGACTGCATATACATGGGTCATTCTACGGAAACTTGCCAAAAGTGAATAAAATTTTGCACAAAAAAAAATATGTTTTTCCTGATTCAAAGTAAGTTTTAAATGGTTACTTAAAGCATTTTAAAACATTTTCCAAAAAGGTTCACCTTATTTCCTCAATTTTAAGAGAATTATAACGAAATTTAAAAATATTGCTAACACGCTAATGACAAGGATACCACGAAAATGACATACACATCAATTTATTAAATTTTTTCTTTATTTTAATTCAATTCACAAAAAGAAAAACGTTGTTTACATAAAAGGAACTTGAAAAAATGAAAAGTAATAAAAATTTATATCTAAATCCAGAATTCACACACTGGTAATTTTTCCTGAAACTCAAAAATTTGCTCATTATCATTATACATATATACTTTTTGGACTATTTAGAATTTTTAATATTTGTTTTTCCTTAATGTACGAGGTATCATTCTCAATTAATTTGAATCTTGTGTTTTGGGAATTAGCATTTTTTTTAAATATTACTTTTACGTTGAAGTGTTCTCCTTCATTTTTGGGATCTTCCAAACATTGACTGACGTATTCTAATTTTATCCTGGAAACTCTAGAAGCAAATATATCCTTTTTTAATGTAATTCAAAGCTAGTGATGAAGTTGACGAAGCCGATGAAGATTGCGAAGAAAAATACACATCATAAAAATTTAATCTTTGTATATTATTTGGGTCTGTATGTCAACTTCATTGACATACAGACATTTGGTATGTCAACTTCATTGACATTGGCATACTTCATAATTCCAAAGTCAAAATGGGAACATTTATTTTGGCATTTGAAATAACTTCATAATTTCCTCATATGTAACGTTGAAAATGTTTCACCAGATGCGATCTGACGAACTGCAAGTGTTCCTAAAATAAAAATATCAGTTAAAAATGATCAAAAATAATAGTGCAACAGTAACACCTTTAAAAGGCTTGATTTTTTTTCGTATGGTTTCTACCTTTTCAATATCTTCTTTGCTATAGTTATAAAAAGACATATTGCTTTGCAGTTCGAATTTAAAAATTCCAAAAGAGTTAAAATGTTTGTCACATCCTTCCCGGAAGCAACAACGGTCAGTTGTTCGCTTACAAACACCGCCAATTCCGTCCGGTGTTCCTCTTCCATGGCCAGACTCTGTTTAGTTCAATGTAAATTTATAATTTCCAAAAAAAATATTTTTTAGATTCTTCGTCAAAAAATAGAACTTGGTATTGGTATTATTACAGAAAGTTCGTTGTAATATGTTTAAAACCTTTAACCGTGCACCCAAATTGCTGAAACATCATGAGATAAGGATGAGTTAAGTGTGCAGAAGTAGTTTTTAACACATTCGCAATTTCCGTTTTAGTTTTAAATAAAGTATATGTTTTTTCTTCTTCATTGCATAATATAGCATATTAAGACATAATATAGTAAATATGAAATTCTATTTCATTAAGTATTTTAATTGGTTTGACATTTAATTTAGCATTTACGTATTTCTTTGAATTATTTTAGTTAGGAAAATTTAGTTAGTTAGGAAATTTTAAGCAAGCTTTCAAAAGAAGTCATTAGCGTGCCCGCATGTCATTGGCGTGATCACACATTAGCCAAACTAATGACGCCATTCTAATGACGAATTACAGGTTTTTTTTAAATAAATCGAAAAGTTTTGCACATATTTACGCCGAAAAAATTTAACAATAACTATTTCAAATATTATTTAAATTAAAATAAAAAAAATAAAAACTTTTAAGAAATTTAAAGTAAAATTACTTACCACGACAATGACAACTTCACTTGTGACACTTAAGTTTTTTCTTATTCTATCTTAAAAAAATTCACTTTTCCCATAAAAAAGGTATGCACTGACTTTGCACACGTAAGTACTAAATACTTACTGATCTCTATGCATTAACTTTTAAAGTTTCAAAAATTTAATGTCTAGAAAAATTAAGTTTAAGTAAAGAGAGTGTGAAATTAAGAAATGTATGGCGACAAGTAGAAAAACAAAAATTGAACTAAAAACAAAAAGAGCATTGTGAATGCGGCATACTCTCAGAGAAACTTGTTCAATTCTGATTTCATTAGAAATTACTAGAAATCAAAAATCAAATTTGAAATAACGAATTTTTAGATGTTTATTTGATGTAGTAGGCTTGGCGACAGCCACGCTAATGACAAAATCGTAACTTATCACAAAATTTCTACTAAAACAATAAAAAAATTTTAATTTTTTTTTCGTGGTAACGAACTATTAGTCCGCCAGCAAATTTAGGAAGTTTAAAAAATTTAAAATTTTTTATTTTTTTTACTAAATTTATTCGGGGACATCAAATAAGCACGTTTCTGTAGAATGACCCACATACGTTTTTCGTTTTACATATTTTATTTTTTCTTCCCAAGTAATCAAATGCAAAAAATTTGGCGTAAAGCAATATTAAATCAATTAACTTACATACATTCATATATATGTATGTATATATAAATATCTGTAAAAATACAACAAATGTGAGCTATATAAATAGTTTACTTTGAGATTGTTTTTAAAAAGGGGATTGTGCTCGATAACGACTCCATACTTTGTGGCGTTAAAGTTTATAATGAGCTTGTTAAATGTTAGGGTCTTCAAAAATTAAATTTAAAAAATGTTTAAAGCTAATACGGGTTTTATTTTAAAGAATCAATATTCAATTAAATTGAAAACTAATTAAATATTAACTATCTTCCAAACCGTCTAATGGATGTTGCCATGTTCTATAGAAATGTGAAAAATAACAAAGTTTTAATTTGGTTGACCCTGATAAATTCATTGGTTTAATTGGGACCTCTATTTATAACACAATATGTTTTAAAGAATATTTTTTAATTTGAGAATAACATTTAAAAAAAAACACTTCATAAAAATTTTAAACCGAAACTTAAACAAACGTATTTATATGCATAACCTCTTAACATGAATATAATAAACATTCATATATAATGTAATACGAGTAATATATGTACATGTGTTATATTATATGCATATGGGCACATGCATGTATGCATATAATAGTATATGTACACCAGGTCCTCGATTTACGACTCAGATGTACGTTGATTTGCGGTTACTACGTTTTTGTTTTATAATTTTGTAATTCACACAACGACTCTTTTTTGCAGCTACGACCCTTTTTTTAAAAATGTGAAGAAAAAGAAAGAAATATTTATAGGGCTCATAATTTGTAGTTGCGCCATTTTTAATACTTTTATATTTTTTGTTTATTCATTTTCATATTTTTATGTCAAAAATGTTGTGAAAATATTGTGAATTTTTTTACAAAACATAAGTGTGCGAACTGCGAAACGATAAGATTTTTTAAATGCCTGCAAAAAAGAAAATTTTCGGAAAACAATAACAATAAAAACAAAATTAGATATTTTAAGAAAATTTGATAGCGGAGAAAAAGTTGCGGATATATAATAATACATATGTGTGTATTATTTTGTTGAAATACATGACGTATCATTTTGTTGAAGTATATAAATATACATAATGTATGTAGAAAATTATACAAAATTTTAACTGTATAAATTTTATATAAATGTATTCATATGCTTTATTATATCTTATGTTCATATGTATAAATATACATACATACATATTTTAAAAAAACTTGTTTAACGGGGATTCGACTTGCGACACAGTTTTCCGGAACACATCGCCGTTGTTAATCGAGGACCTAGTGTACATGTATGTATGAATAAAGTATAATATATGTATTCATATACGAACTATTAACGAAAAGAAGACTTTAATTGCATTAGTATTTTCAGTTTGAATTAAAAATTTTTGGAAATTTTTCAAGTTACAGAGATTTTTGCTTTTATGGGAACTGAATGTTATTTAGAGTTAAGGAGAAATTCGGATTGGGGAATTTCGAGTTATAGAATAATTTTTATAAACAAAGTTATACCAATGTTAAGGGAACTCATATGGTTTTAAGGTAAGGAGATTTTCGAGTTGTAGAGGCTCCACTGTATCACCTTTTAAAAAATGTTGAAAATATTTATATTCCAAGGTTCTCATTGTTTTTTAAGGACGTAGCTGTATTAGTTATTTCCAAAAAAAACGTATTCGTTAATTTTTCATAATTTCCGAAGAAATTGCATAAAATTACTGAGAATCGTAAGAATTGCTAAAAAAGCATTTCTGTTTTTGTCAAATAAAGTACTAGAAAAATCTACATTTTTAAAATCATTTAGTGCAAAATTATGCATGCATATGTCCCAACAAAAACTAAAGTAGTTAATTTATACAATTCGACGGGCATATACAATTACAAAAGAATCGTATTCTATTTCATGCGACTTTAAAATTACTATACTAATTTTATTGAGTATAATTTTTTCCAAAAGAAAAAATTCCTTTCTTAAGTTTATTGAGTATATAATTTTTTATTTGTTTGAAACGAAAAATTAACGCGCCCCGGAGTATTAACGTGTTTACTGTACTTTCTCAAAAAGGAAAAATAGTGCCTCATTTAGAGGCGCTATTTCGTCTTATAATATTCTTAGATGGAAAGCTCAACGATGAACTCAACAATATGAAATATTATTTTAGAAAGAAAATATCACACTGCGTGAAATCAAAAAGTAAATACTGCAAAGATATTGCAGTACTTTACTGGCAAAATAATCAAAAAAATTACGAAATCAGTTCGATGGAAGTAAGATAATTTAATTTCGGAATAGTAACTCAATATTGCCACAATGTTTAATAAACATTCTCCTCGCGAAATTTCATGTTGCTTTAATTATTTTTTTTTAATTTTCATGTTTAAACTTATCTTATTTTTAAATTTAAATAGCTTTTAGTTGAATAACACTTTTAAAAAATATCGTTAATTAAAAATAAGATTGTATTATTCAGCAATTTAAGCCAAATAAACAAAATTTAATATGTATAGAAGTTGTCGTAAAGTTTAATACTGAGTCATCGCAACACTTGAACATCGCAACACTTAAACATCGCAACATAATATTGAAGTGTCACTTTACTTTATTGCAAGTGTATATTTACTTTTTGATTTCAGTTGTTCCACTATGTAAAAATGCAAAACTCGAAAATTTTCGATTCGCAAGTGATTTGATATTGTGTAACAAAATTGCATCGGAAAAAATTTAAACTGCAAGCATTTTCTAAAATTTTTTGTTTTTGACATTTCTGACAGTTTTTTCAAAGTAAACATTTCAGCTATTTTAAAATAGTCATAAATATTTATATGTATGTATGTATGCTTAACAGTCGCTTGTTGTTAACTTGTTAAAAAAATATGGAAACTTGTTAAATAAATAGTGAAAGATTTTTAGTAGGTACGTTAAGATTTAAATATTGCTCTTGCTCGACAAGCCATTTCACTTATTATACCCGAAGTTTGTAAGGATATAGATAAAAAGTTGAGTCCTTCAAAAATCAAAGTGGAAAGGAGCAATGTCTAGAAAAGAGAAGCGAAACAAGTTTGCATACTGCATGAAGTTTACTATTATTGTAAACCGAGAGATTTTGTTTAGACCTTAGTTAAGTGCAGTAAATTTGAAGTGGCGGTTTTTTTTTAATTTAATAAACCAAAATGAATGTTACACTTACATTGTTTAGTTTTATTTTTTCAAAAACTTAGACTTTCGCAATAAGATTTGTAAAAGCTTTGGAAAGTAGCATTCTGTAGTGCCACTTTTGCTACTTTCGCATACGCAAATTTACGATATTTAATTTACATAGTTTCGAAATTTTAGATGTGTATATAGTAGGCCACCAGGGTTATCGTATTTGAAGGCCACAAGGGTTAATTTAAATATTTTGAACCGCTCCGTTTGAAAATAGAAGTACTAATGAAAGAGAATGTTAGTAATTTTACTACCATTAATTAAAGCCATTGAACCATTGGGTATTTAAAAATCTAAAAAAATTTGTTGAAATATTTTATTTGCTGAAAAAAAATAACACTAATTTCTTTAATTTACAGATCTATTGTAAAATACGTGATAGCTTACAATTTAATAGAATATTTCAAGAAAAAATATAGAATTTTCAAACGAATAATAACTTAGTAAGTACAATGTTTTTTATATTTATTTTTAAAACATATACAATTAATTATAAATAACAATATAATATGTAAATATTATGTTAAGTGTTTCATTAAATACAGCAAATAGTGCGAGGATAAGAATTTATTCTTAATTTTTTTTCTTTTGTTAGTTAAATCAATTTGTAAATGTTATATTTAGTGATGGACATTTACGAACGTTACTTGATCGATTTCCATTCGTAAAATTACTATTACTAGGTTGAAATTGCATTGGAACCGCACTGGACATTGACGATAATTGACGAACCATACCAGAACCTAATTGTTGTAAAAGCCCAGATCCAGATCCAAGAGGACCTGAGGATAAACATGTTGATGGTCGTCTAGACCTGATTGATTGCATACTTGAAGATAACAAAAATGGTACACTGCTAGATGTATTTGGCATGGATCCACCCTTAATATGAAAAAAAAAAAATGAAAAATGTTTTATAATAAGCCTTTTTCTTTAAAAATAATTTCTTTTTAAAGCGTTTGTAAGAAAAAAACTACAAAAGTTTAAACTCATAGCACTTTCGAAATCAATAAAAATTATGTTTCTACTTATTTACATGTTTCATTTTACTATTTTTCTAAATGACAAAAAAAATGCAAAACATCGGAGAGTAAAAATTCAATATTTATTATGCTAATATTTAAATATATTTTTTTTAATACATTATTATAATATCTACTTAATATATTAATTATCGATTTACAATTATTACAATAAATGATATGATAAGGAAATTAAATTACTATTTATGAATAAACTGCAGGTGTAATTCTACTAATATTAAAAAATTAAAAGTTTAACATAAAATAAAATATGACTATAATTTGGTGCATTCATGATTGTTTTTATATAGTTATGTATATCATATAATGTTACTGTTGCATAATATTCGATTGGTTAAAATTTAACAATTGCATACGATATCATAAAAAAAGGGAAGAAACATCCTATAATACTTTTACTGAAATCAATAAAAATATTATATGATAATGTTCTGTTGTCTAAAAGTTATAATTAGGGTCCGAAAATTAAAACAAAGCGAAAATGCAAAATAAATCGTAAAAGAAAATTCCAAATGATTCAAGCAAAGGGCAGTGCGCAAACTTCTGCTACTCACTCTCACTAAAACATAGCGCTTGTCAGGAAGCCATTCAATCGCCAACTTACTGTTTTTTCGAACACAAAATTTTTGGAGTACTTAGCCAAATGTGCCTTACGTTTATTCATATGGGCATGAGGTTAATGTTATCAAATGAAACTTACATAAAGAAGTGAAATTTCATCGAATATATTTTCATGTAAAATGTTGCTAAGGAAATTCGCATTATCAAAAATTGGATGGTTTACTTTAAAAGTGACTTAGGTCGCAATTTCAAAGCATTGTAATGCTTTGAAATTGATTTGCAGTTGAAACGTATATAGCGAAATAAGACAATAAATATGCTTTAAAGCAAATAATCAGTCAATGGAATTTTTTTTGCTTTGAACCCAAACGGAACAATATTTTTTTTATTTGAAATGGAATGAGGTCACTTTCAAAACTAACAATTCTTACAAGTATTTACAAATTCTATACGTCCAAGTTAAAATATACACTCGTGCGTGAAAGGAATTTTTCAAAATATTTTTTTGAGACATGTGAAATCTTTTCAATATACAAAATTCTTTGCCACAATGTTATAGCAACAATAGGTTGTTCAAAAAAAAAAACAAAATTACTTTTGTTCAACTTTTCGCTAAAGTTAAAAAAAACGAGAAAAAATAGAGTTGACCGTGTCAACTCTGTGATGCCCGTACGTATTTGTTATACTAAATATGTCATAGACGACTATGGGACAGATGACTATAACTTTAAGTTATCGTATTAGTTAATGCAAAATTTCAGTACTATCTTTTCAATATTTTCTAAGATATAGCCAAGCTACTTGAAGTTGTATGGCTGCTATTGCAAAGAGCCAAGCAATTTCAACGACTTTTATCAATCACATTTGCCCTGCTAATATATTCGCTTGTGTGAAATTTCAATATCACAGCTTTTATAGTTTCTGAGATATAGCCATGAAATTTTTGAAATTGTATGGCAGCTACCAGAAGGAGCCAAGCAATTTCAACGACTTTTATCAAACACATCGGATCTACTTATATATTTACTCGTGTGAAATTTCAATATCACCAATTTTATAATATCTGAGATATAGGCAAGTAACTTTTGAAGTTGTATGGCAGCTACCAGAAGAAGCCGAGCAATTTCAATGACTTTTATCAAACACATTGGACTTAATAATATACTTACTTGTGCCAAATTTCAACACAATAGCTTTTATAGTTTCTAAGATATTATGAAATATTTGGTGAACTTAGTTCAATTAATTTTTGACTTATCGTTGGGACGGACGGATGGACAGACAAAGCCAAATCAACCCAGAACTCGACGCTGATCAGAAACATACACTTCTATATCTCAATGCATTATTTTTTAGCATAACAAACGGTAAGGAAAATTTAATATACCCTTCGAACATATTTTCGTACGGGTATAAAAAGGTGATGATGTGGATCTGTACAAACAAAAAATATCATTTTAAATCCAATGAAATTGTAGTACTGCAAAAAATATTTTCACAAAAACTTTTGACTGCTTTTTATCCATAATTCGCAAATTTTCTAACCCTTATATAATTAAAAATATCAGGACAAAAACATCTACCAAGTGGAAACATCACATCAAATCTATAAAAAACAAATGTTCTATGGCCCTAATTGGAAAGTGCCACCCCGAAGTGAACACCCTGTATAAGTTTAATAATATAAGGAAAATTAATTGCAATAACATTAATTTAATTCACTTTTTTCAAAGATTTTTAAATTAGAAATTGTTTTCAAAGATTTAATGGAAAACTTTTTAAAAAGTTTTTTTAATAATTTTTTAATTTAACCGTACTTTAGTCGTTACATAAGTATATACATATACATACATATGCATAAGTATAACTAATCTGTTAGTTTATCTTGATACCAAATATTGTGCAATAATATAAAGCATAAAATATGAAGAGCTAAAACTGGGGATCAAATCACTAAAAAAATCACTTTGAATGAAAAATTCCAATGAGTCTCTGACTCATTCTATATTAATGACACTCTACATTAAGTACTTAATATTTTTTATATTTTTGAGTATTGGGAAATTATTGAATCATACTATTACGTTTAAGAACTTTTTTTTTATGATTTCTTTGTTGAAGTTTTTCGTCATTAATTAATTGGTGTAATTAGGACAATAATGGAACAACAAAAATTGCATTAGAGTCTAAGGAACACCGTAAATTCCTGAGTCCATTTACATTGGCGCCCATATTATGTTAACAGCTATAAAATGCGCACACATATAATTATATACATATATATTGTACATATATGTACTATATGTGAATGTAGGATATTCTTTATGTTTTGTTTTTAATTCAATTTACAGCGAAGACAGAGTGTTGGTTTTTTTTAATAATTTTCAAACATAGAGCTAAAATGTAAATCAATTTTTCAAAAAAAAGGTTATTGAGTTTACAAGAAATTATTAAATTTTGTGAATTATTTTCATAAATATGTAAATGTTTTTGTCAAAGACACATAATTTTGGTAAATGTTTAAAAAGTATGCTTCATTTTTTAAAAATTTGTTATTATTTTTAGAATTGAAATTTATAGGAAACTGTTTATAAGTCTATATAATAGAGATATATATGTATGTATGTATGTACATAATATGTACACTCTTCCATGCATTCTTGTATATAATATTATGTATGTACATATTTCTATTTTTTTTTGTCGGTAGGTAAAAATTTAAATTTTTGAACGCTTTTTTGAAAATTTGGAATAAACAAGATAGTTCGTTTAATTATAGAATTTATTTTTAGGGAGGGGATAGTGTCATACACATAAAGCGAAAAGCCAAATTATTTTTATGAATATTTTTGTTTGCGTATGTAGTTTTATTATACTTTTTTTTCTCTTTTCCAAGAACTAACACAACTCTAAATATGTATTTTCTGTACCAGCTGAAAATACACCCAGACATCCAAAATGTAGTAAAAGTGAATTTTTTTTTTAAATTTGGTTTAAAAATAAATTGACTATCAAAATGGTACAAAAAATTTTTTTTGCTTTTTTGATCGAAACCAATCAGTTCGGGAAATTTATGTTTAGATCACAAATTTTGTAAGTTAAAATATGCTGTCTACATAGGCATACATATATGTGAATATGCTATGAACCTACATATGCATATTGTACATATTTCAACATTTTACGTAAATATTTCAACATTTTGGTAAAAGCTTATTTTATAAATCAATCTTTTTGAATTATTTTTTGTAGAAATGTACTTTTGTACTTTTTGTATAAATTAGTTCTGAAATCAAAGTGCTTTTCTCTAAATGTATATATATATTCAAAGTAAATTTATGAATCTGGATCAGATTACATTTAAAATTTTTTTATGTCGCATTTTCGATCATTGATACATTATGATCTAGTTGTTGTAATGCATTTTGGATATCACAAACAAAAAGCAGACACATAGGAAGTTATTGTATGTATATGTATGTTAATATATAAAATATTTTTGTTTTACCTTTGTGTGTAAGTATTTTTAGTAATAATTACATATGTATATAAGTATTTTATTTTCATATTTTAGGATTGTTATTCCTTTTAACTTTCAGTGGAAAAGGTTTTTTTGTTAATGTGCGTTCGTTATCATAAAAAAAAATCCTACACAAATGTTATTTTAAGAACTTTGAATATACATATGCAAAATAGTATTTAATTAAAAGTTTTCAAAGAAAAAGAAGTAGGTATTTTATTTATTTTTATATTCTGGAGAGTTGAAAATAATGGATCAATACACTTTTTAATATTTTTAGTCAAATTTCCATACTATATTATTTTAAATTATGCCATTAACACATTTTATATATTATTTTGCTAATTATTAACGTTAAAAAACTTTTTTATACGACTGCTTGACAGAAACCGAAAAAGGGTTACCGTACTCTCAAAATTATATATGTATGTATCTTTCGAATTGATCATTACTTAAATAAACTCGAATTTAATCATTTGATAAAAATGATTATATCAAAACGATAATGATGTTTTATAATCTATTTTAGACATGCGTACATATATACATAGTTAAATTCATAAAAAAATTTCAATTACAAAACCATTAATTTTTTTAAACGTTACATATTTTTCCATGTAAATCTTTTTAGTTCAGTTTCATTTTAAAAACTGATGCTCTTTGAATTTACGTACTAACACTGATGTTTGTTGACATAAAATCTCTATTAACTCGCGGTTAACATCTGGGCTTCTCAGTAAGCGCTAGGAATTTTCATA